TGGTTTGAATTACAAAACAGGCACACAAATGTGTTCGCCGTTGCGTCAAAACAATTATTGCAGAAAATGCTTACCACAAAGAAAGAATTGGATCATTTTGCTCCCTGGAGGTCAACGCTTACACTTTAGGTCATTAGATCAGATATGAGAGCACAAAGGCAAAAAATAAAAGAGAAAAAGTGTTCAATGGTGCGAGTCCAAGCGCAAAGCATACCACCATGGTAACATTTTTACCTGTCTGCCGAAAGCATAAGACAAGCGAGCGACTTAAGCATTCGCACCTCCATAAGAAATTAACAAACATCACACTGGTCCGTTCTCGCTCTAATGTCACCTTCTCTTGGATCGGATTCGGGTCATGTGTCGCTGCCGGTCCCGTATGTCTCCCCTGGAGATGTTCGTGGAGCGAGCCAGGCCAAACACGAGCGCTATCCGTGCCCGCCCGCACGCCGGTCAGGTTTACGCTCGGCTGCTGGAGTCTGGCCAGCGCGGATCTTACGTAGGCGTGTGGGGGCAACATTCGGTTCGGCGAACGGTGCACTGGGCCGCTGCACCGGCGCCCGGTAATGGCCCCCTGACATCAACAGGCCACCGGCTATGGACTATCAGGGTCGCCGGCGCCGGGCTGCCACTGGCATAGTGGTGGTAAGCAGACGGGCGTCTGTTGAGAAACATTCCGACAATGGCAACGCTCATAAGAGCTACAGATGGATGAGCGGCAGTAACCTATATAGAGGCTATCTTGGATATTTTTATCTCTTATGGTGTCATTGTGAATGCAAGGCAGACAAGTTAATCGCCACATTTTGAGCACCTCAATCACATTAATTCGAAAGTTATGTGCAGCAGTTATGATGGTTCGAACGGAAATTAGGCAATCAAGATTCAAGAGACGTTTAGTTTTTATTGCTTAATTTCAGGTCCAAACAGAGTCACAGACGAACATTGCGCAGAGATCCACCCTACAACCAAAAATACTTCGTACAACATCCGCCAGTCTGCGTGCCACAGGCCCACCCTAAAAAGGCGCGGGCTAGGCCTCGCCGGCACTGATTTTCCCAAGAACCTGACTACGGCAGGCAACCCATGCCAGAGACTCGGCGAGCTTATATTATCAAACAAAATTACGGCGAGATTGATGATCGATGCTAATGCTTGCTCAATAGACGTCCTATGCGTAATGCGCTGTTCGATACGTGATAAATCATATTTAATATCCATATTAAACATATTAATCTGACAACACGCTGTTTCTTGGATACCAAATAGGGGAGAGCGGGGAGAGTTGTATCATGTCCAAGTTGTATCAGGGCGAATTGTGCCAAACTTATCCAATAGATTGCGCTTGTGACGCGACCAGCCGACGAGTTTTTCCGGGCGCCATCTTTCTCTGTTCTGTCGTGTGGCTGGGTGGACGCGTCTCGAGGTGAGAGCCGATTTTATGTTTTTTTAATGTCATTCTAAAAAGCCAAGTTGCAAGAAAATGTGTGTTTTGGGCATTTAGATGTGCACGAATTTGAAATATCTCCGTAGCGGTAGTGAGGGTTGGTTCTAAGGCTGCGTGAGTGAAAATGGATTTCTCCAGCTGTCCGCTGTTTTTGAGCACGAGGATGTTTTTTCCAAGATGGCGGCGAGGTACATGTTGTATCAGAGCCGGGTGGGGTATGTTGTAACATGTATGTATGTATGTATGTATGTATGGGTATGTTGCTTTTGATCGCAAAAGCTAAGCCCTGGCTCACGTTTGTAGGTAGCTAGTCAATAGGTACTCGTTCCATTTCGGCACAATGTGTTGGCTTCTTTGCTCTTAACGGGCCACTTTTGCGTCTAGTCTGTTGATGTTTCGTTCGTTTCGATGTTTCGTTAGGATTGACCTAAGTTTGGTCTCATAAAAGTGAAGCCTTTGAGCATATACATTGTATTAACCCCATTTAATGTTGTTGTTATGTTCAAAACCAGTAGCAAGCACACTCCCTGAAACGTGAGATAGTGATACGAATTACCCCACCATGTGATACAACTCACCCAAGCCATGGGGCAAGTTGTATCAAAAACATTGTTCTATTCGGCAGACCGTAGAAGAAAAACTGGTTAAGGTAGCGGAAAAGTTACTTTGCACAAAAAAGCAGAAGAATCAAGGAAGGAGATAGTATGGAAATAATGAGTTTATCACGGATAGTTACGAGGTTAGGGGTCTCGGAGTAAAAACTGATACAACCCACCCCACTCTCCCCTAACTTTGTGTGTGCATCGATTCTGTGATGCGAGTTCCATTCAGCATAAAACATTCCTGCCGATATCAAGCAACTCTAGCACCTATGACACAACATACACAAATGCGCTGATTTACGGAAAACTAGCATAACTTTTCCCTGGTCTATGTGACTACGTGCATGCGGTGAAGTGTACCGCCTGGGCGCGAACTTACGTGCATGTGTCCTTGTCATAAATTGTGTACCTTTATTATCCCCACACGTGTTGGTTTACTTATGCATTATACATGACCTCGGAACACTCATATATCTGGACGTTCGGGGTGGGACAGCGGGCAGCGGAACACGCCGACAGTCGCTCCTTGTTGACCCTCAATCAATTCTGGAAGATTGGGTGCCTCAGCACAAACAGGGCTCTGCACCCTCGGCGACTGCAAATGAGAGCCAGCCACTCTGAAGTTGGTCTCGCAGACCCTCTGAAAAACAGCCCGGATAGCGTGTTTAATCATAGATCTGCGGCCTGAGGCGGCGGCTGAGCCGTGAGTGGGACGAGTTGGTACTGACGCGACACCAAACGTGAAACGGATGACGCCGGCGACGGGCGCTCTGTATAGAGACGGCTGGTGGGCCGTGGGCGGCGGCCGACCGCGCCTTGTTCGCCCTGATGGATGACACCGGACGCGAGGCGGCTCATCATTATTAATCAAACTGAGCTAAACCACACAGCACAGCTCAAGGTGACTGTGGGCCAAACTTGAGGGATCATTGGATGTCATTTTCTACTGCAGAACAAAGAGACACTTTTCCCCTTGCGAAACTTAGGTATACGTACACTGTAGTATGTATTTCGTTGACAAATCTATTCGACTTTGCGATTTTCCCCCTATACGACCGATTTTTTTTTTCCAGAGCATTTCACTGTTCAACGAATGACATCAACCTATTTTACATTTCAGAGCGTCGGACGGGGTGGTTGCCCCTCAGGCCAGCCCAGCCATGCAGTCAGGGTGGCTGCGGACGGTGCCTAGCCCGCTGCTGCTGCCGCTGCTGCTGGTGCTGCTGCTGGTCCCGCCGGCCCTCGGTCAGCACTCGGTGCTGCTGGACGGTGACCTGGTGCTCGGCGGCCTGTTCCCCGTGCACGAGAAGGGTGACGGCACGCCGTGCAGCGCCAAACTGTACAACCGCGGCCTGCAGCGGCTCGAGGCCATGCTGTTCGCCGTGGACCGCATCAACAGCGACCGCCGCCTGCTGCCGCACACCACCATCGGCGTCAACATCCTGGACACGTGCAGCACCGACACGTACGCGCTCAACCAGTCGCTGGCCTTCATCAAGGCGCCACTGGACGTCATGGACACGGTGGCCTTCGAGTGCGCCGACCGGTCCACGCCTCGGCCCAAATATCGTTTCAAATCCGTTAGTGGAGTGGTTGGTGGCTCGTATAGCACAATCTCCATCAACGTCGCCAACTTGTTCAGACTCTTCCGCATCCCGCAAATTTCACCAGCTTCCACTGCGCAGGCGTTGAGTGATAAAACGCGTTATGAATTTTTCGCGAGGACAGTGCCACCGGACACGTTTCAGGCCACGGCGTTAGTGGACATGGTGCAGTTGTTCAACTGGTCTTACGTCAGCACCATCGCTTCTGATGGCTATTACGGTCACAGTGGCATGGACGCGTTCCACCGCCAGGCTGCCGAGAGGAACATCTGCATAGCGGTGGCGGAAAAGGTGCCGCGGGACGCTACGGCCAAAACATTCGAGAACATCATCATGAACCTGCAGAAGAAGCCGATGGCGCGGGGAGTGATCCTATTCGTCAGAGCCGAAGATGCAAGGTGAGTTTAGGCCTGCACTTTAGGGAAGCCAAAAGTTCTTTTTCAGCTTGTGAAGTTTTATTTGGACGTCAGAGAATGACTTCGTATCTCGTACCTTTACAGAAGAAATAAGAACGCTTAGTTCCCATTTTTCATGCACCGGGTTTTTGTGGGCTAGAACCACGAACGTGAAACGGAAATGGTGTGCTTTGCCTGTATGGAACTGAACGAGTTAATTTATTTCGTCATCTGATGACAACGCCAAATAACGTTTCGTACAGGCGGTGCCCCTTTTTTTAATTGAAGCTCGCATTTCGCTAACAATGCATTTTGTTTAGTTTTCCATAGAAATGATTATTGATTACGTAACTCACGTTTAGCGAGCCCTTAGGGTGAGAGCATTCGTGACAGCAAAAACAAAACGGTCCGTACTACCTTCTGCGCCTTTCCATCATCGCTCTTATAGCGGTGCGCCACTGTCGACAGTGCGCTGCAGTTGTCTACACTCCCAATTTCTCAGCCGACGTTTCTATAATGGTTCCGCACGCACCGGCCCAAAACCTGGGGCTGGGAAAACGGGGAGCATCTGAAATCCGAATGGAATTCGGACATCTCGGAGTGGCCAGAAATGAAGTTTCTGAATCGCTTAGGCTGAGAAACTTTCGTTTCCGTGTCGGTGCATTTTGTTCCAAATCAGCCTAAAATTTGGATTATTCTGACCTTGCTGAGCTGACAGTTTTATAATGTTTGTGCTCGGTTATTCGGTAATACAGGGTGCACGTACTCTGTCGCCTTATTATTTCAAATCGCTAAACGATCCTTATAATTTTAAGGAGTGAAAAACTGTTTACACAAAAACGTTGATCAGTGCTTATTATGTATCCTATTTCAACAATAATATAATGCGCGATATTTTTGCTATGGACACTATTTAAGATTTCAGGCAAGTACCTATGTATGCAACACAATGGACGCTCATCAGACATTTCACAGCTCACTCTAGATTCAAAATGATTCTTATCATAATCGTTCAGGTGGAAATATATAACGTGTTAACGACAAATATCGATAAAAACGTCAACATGAATAGCACCCGTCTGATTCAATGTAAACGTGTAGGAAGCATCGACCATTAGATACTTTTATTTATGCGCATTTATTCACTCAAAGTTTTATTTGATGTTGACTTTTTGAATATTATCTGAAGTATATTCCAATAATTCACTTCAAAATATGTATATTGGCTTCTTCAGCCCCTTTTTCAACCGCTGTTTAAACTCGATATCTCTTTATGATATACACCAATATTTTTGACCAAAGTTAAGGCGAAAAAGTTAATAATGGAAGCTAGGAACATATAGCTTTAATATCAGAATAAAGAGCCTCAATCTTGGCGGTGACGTGTTTGAAATGACTTTATTTTAGAGTGCCTTGGAATTATGTATTTATGGCGCCATTATTCAATCTGGCCATTGGATTTCTTTTTGGCGTCGACGTGTCTGCATGAGTTATGTGGCTTGAAAAACGAGGGTCTCAGCGAAAGAGTATCCTACGCTGTTTAACGCCTTCTATCATATAACGTCGATGCGAGCCCTCTTCCCAGATTATTTCCAGCAGCGTAGCGAGACGCACGAGGCGGCGTTGGAAAGGCCTCATGTAATCCTCGATTGAATTATCCAGACGAGCGATTAAACACATCTGAAGTAATCCTAAAATTCACATTTTTAGGCTACGTGACATGTCAAGGTCAGGCCGAAGGTCAACGTTCAGCATATTTACACATACTCATGCATACTCGTGCACAATTTTACTGCAAGTTCCTTTTGTTGACCACAGGGGCGTGCTGGAGGCGGCGCAGCGCCTGCGGCTGCGCGAGCCGTTCCACTGGATCGCCAGCGACGGCTGGGGCAAGCAGGAGAGCCTGGTGCAGGGCGTCGAGGAGGTGGCCGAGGGCGCCATCACCGTGGAGCTGACGTCGCGCCGGGTGGCCGCCTTCGACCGCTACATGGCCGAGCTGACGCCCGACACGAACCGGCGCAACCCGTGGTTCCGCGACTACTGGCAGGCGTTCTTCGGCTGCTCGCTGGCGCCGGACGCGGCCGAGGACACCGCCTGCGACCCGGCGCTGCGGCTGCGGCCAGAGACCGGCTTCGTCCAGGAGTCCAAGGTGCAGTTCGTCATTGACGCCGTCTACGCGTTCGCGCACGCTCTCGAGGCACTGCAGCTGAATGTCTGCGGCGTCAACTTGGCAGTCTGCCAGGAGATGAGGAAGTATGACGGAGGCGACTTCTACAAGAAGTACATCCTCAACGTGTCATTCACAGGCAAGTTATCAGTTACGCATAAAAGTTATTACATGATATAGCTGAAGTGATTCAAATACAATGTCACCAAGCCACTTGCCAGTATGCTCGTTTATCCATGGTTTTGTGACGAAAAGTTACAGCTAAATAGAGTAGTGATAGAGCATAACACTGGTATGCATATGATACTGATCTTGCAGTATCATATTATGCGTTTACTTTAGGCGTGGTTAGTCCCTCTTTGTGAATACAATGCACTACAATTATATCAATGGTGACTTGATCCTGTCTTTCTAGGATTTTCGAAGCGCCTTAGCGGTGCAGTTAATTTTAAAAGAGCAGCAAATTGCAAATCGGCAAAAACATTCAGCTCGTCGAAATTGAGACACACTCTACACTACTATCCTTTATTGATCGTGACTATCAGAGCGGAGATCGGGCCCGACGAAGCGATCTACGCAAAATATCGATTCACTACCGGCCCTACCACTCGTCAAGTCATAGACACCGTCTTGTGATAGTCTTGTGTGTTTATCACTGACCGGAAGCTCATTCCGAGGTTCCGACGGTATTCGGTAGGATTTCGACTATTGTGATGCGGTGGTCGCCCATATCCTGTTGTAGCAGAATGACTGAAGCCATTCCTACACACAGAAAAATATTAACACCGTTAGCGGTGTAATTGCACAGTACATATCTGAGCACTTGAGGAAAGTTAATTTAGTCCCTTCCCCGCTTAAATTACTCGCGCTTCTAAATGAACACCAGGAAGAAGGTAATAGAACACTGTTAGGAGGGTTGGGTGTTTTGCTACATGTAGTCCTAACAGTGTTCTATTACCTTCTTCCTGGTGTTCATTTAGAAGCGCGAGTAATTTAAGCGGGGAAGGGACTAAATTAACTTTCCTCAAGTGCTCAGATATGTACTGTACAATTACACCGCTAACGGTGTTAATATTTTTCTGTGTGTACCACACACCCAAGGCATGCATGCAGAGATATCGTCGAAGAATGGTGAGAAAACGTTGGAGTAGTTTCAACACAATGGCGTTTTGATTGTCTAATATGCGACCATCTATTCCTTCATCATACGATATTGATGGATTCGTTTCAGACATGGCTGGAAGTAAAGTGATGTTTGATGAACGGGGAGACGGAATGGCTCGATACACCATCTTCAACTATCAGCGAGACCCAGTCACCGGGCTTCACCAGTATAAGGTAGGGAGTTGTGTCGTCAGTGCTCATGGACTGGTTAGTACTGGTGTATTTTTTTTCGTGCGTTGCAGTGCGCTCTATCGACTCTCTCTCTCTCTCTCTCTCTCTCTCTCTCTCTCTCTCTCTCTCTCTCTCTCTCTCTCTCTCTCTCTCTCTCTCTCTCTCTCTCTCTCTCTCTCTCTCTCTCTCTCTCTCTCTCTCTCTCTCTCTCTCTCTCTCTCTCTGTCTCTGTCTCTGTCTCTCTCTCTCTCTCGCCCTCTCTCTCTCTCTCTCTTTCTCTCTTCCCCCTCTTTCTCTCTCCATAGCAGAAGTATGCTCAGCACCGTTTTATTGGAAATAGAACTGTGACCTGTCTGCCTATTGCATCTGAGTGCTGTTTCACCTGACGAACGCTCGTCTCCGTTCCAGGTGATCGGTCAGTGGGAGGGGGAGCTGAACATGAGCGCCGACAGCGTCCGGTGGAACCGCGGCATCCACCTGAGAGGACCGACAACCACCGCTCCGGACCCCACCTCTGATGTCACCACTGACCTGACCATTGACCTGACCTCTGGCCTTCCGTCCACCACGACCTTAGATCCTGACACCGGTCAGTCTAATCCACCTACTGACCTGACCACTGACCTACCCACCACCCCCACCACCGAACTTACCGCTGATCTAACCTCAGACCTCACCCCTAACCAGACCGAAAACATCCCTGCCGACATCCTCTCTAACGTCACCGAATTGCCTTCGGAGACGACCGATCCCAGCACGGACGTCCAATCTGTCTCCATGACGTCAGAAGCTGCTGTCGATGTGACGTCACAGGTCGTAGAGATGGACGGGGACTCGGCTGACCCGGATGACCTGGTCAATAGAGTGCCGCTCTCCGTCTGCTCGCTACCCTGTGAAGTCGGAGAGGTCAAGTACATGCAACAGGTCAGTGAATCATGTTTAGGTCAACTTTGTTTGATGACCTTTCTTACCTTAAATATTAGAATTCGAAGTAATGGATTATCGTCAGCTTTGAACGTCACCGTGCGCAGTGCGCACCTTGACGGAAGAGCGTGACACCTATGATACTGCTACGTCACCCCACGTCAAATAAGCTACCATATTATGCTGTCCCGTCACCTGCTACGCTGTATGGCAGCAGCCAGCTTCATCTTTTATGGGACACGTTCCCGTCATGGAATCCTGTCATTTCGCCTGTCAAATCAGGCTGTCCTAACTAGTAGTTTCTTATGTCCCTGTCCGTCCCACCTGACTGTTCCTCACTACTCTACCTCCGTCTGCTGAAGCCTGTTTCTCATGTCTTCTTTCGCTGCAGCCTGTTCCTCGTGTTTTTGTCGACTGCAACTGACATGGGCGTCACTGACCATTTATCCAACAGCGGCAGTATACCGGGAACCCTGTCGGTGCCGATTGCCAGGGACGTTCGGTAGACTTGATCAGAGACGGCAGACTCTCTGATCAGAGCCGACAGACTCTCTGATCAGAGATGGCCCAGACAGATCTCACTGATCTCATGTCAGATTTCGGATTAACTCATTGCGCACTGTCGCCGCCCGCAAATGGAAAGAGACATCGTCACGTACCGCTAGCAAATCATTTCCGGGATTCGGACACTTCTCATATAATCTTTAGTCGCAAAAGGACCTTTTCATTTCCAACATACATTTCACATAGGTTAGAGGTGGCCACTGGTCACCTGGCTCTAACCACAAGAAACAAAATCAATACATATAAGCAAGAAGGCAGAATTGCAGTCAGCAGCTTCCGCTTCCCATATCAAATGGACTCGGATTTGATATTCGATTTCAAAACGGCTAGGTACTCTTTTTAATGCTTACACGACAGAATGATTTTATGCTAGTCAATCAAATGACACAACGAAATCAATGATGCAACGTGTCTTTGCTAAATCGCACTTGAAAGGCAAAGAAAAAAAGAAAAAAATATACTAATGGGAGATAAAGCCACATATTTAAAATCAGAGACGACTTTCATTCCTGCTCCGGTTTGGGAGCCTCCACTGAGGTCGATATTTTATTGTAATTGAGATGCATATAATTGAACAGGCTGACACTGGGGTGCAGACTCCCCTGAGCTCATGGATATTGGCTATGTGCGCTCCTTTTCGGAAGTCGAGATGCAAGCTCCCCTGAGGCCAAGACCAAGGTAGCTGCAGTCGGAATCAGGTGGTCGGTTCGATCATCAACAGATGACCCTGCCGTCGGACGGGCCCTCTGGGATCTGACATTTTCGCTGAACGGACCGCTTCTCTCGGGGAACATCGCAGAAAGGAACGCCTATTTTTTAAACCAGCTACGATCAACATAAGATCAGACTTTATTTTCCTTTGCAGTTATAAACATGACCCCTTCATTGCTACTCATAATTTTGGCTAGTCTAAACAACACACAGCAACAACCAGATCTGTCTATCCGGAGCTGTCAACAGTCGGTCCGAGCATGCAGTCACCGGCGCTGCACTGCCATGCTTACCGTGCAGCTGGGAGCCCGCCACCGGGCAGGGGGCAGCGGTGATGACCTGCCCTCCCTCCCCGCGGTGATTATCTGGAGTATCGCTGGCGGCAGCGAAGCACGGCGCTGATTGCCCATTGACGATAAGCTGACACATGTAGCAGCGATAGCCGGCCTCCGGCTGCCCCTGATGGTCGGGCGGGCTTAGAGGAAGGAGGCAGCGAGGCGGGGTGAAGCAGGAATGCCGAGACAAATAGTCTGGCTGAAAATGTAGCGAGTGTGGGTGACAGACGATAGAGCGTCTCGCCGTCTGGCTATAGCGATAGCCGTGAAGGAACGCAGATAAAGGGGAGCTGGGTTCACAGATGCAGGGACAAGAGAGTGCTTGCAATAAATTTTACTTTCAACGTATTTTAACGGCAACTTAAAAGCAAATCTGAAAATGAAGAGCGGTCCCCCTCCCCCGTTTACCGCCCGTCATAGCATCTTATGTATAATACATTTTTTGTGTGATTTAAGTGTCCCTGTCCATTGCAGGATGAAAAAGTGTTGTTCATTTCCGACCTACCTGCATATTGTGACGCTATACCCCTTGGCATGCTTTGCTAATATGTGATCGAGTGCCAGCAGTGTGGTAGGTATTGCCAAACGTCAATATACGACCTACAAAGGCGACCCATGACATAGTCCGCTAATGCGCGTCCCTGATATGCCCTGCAGGGTGAAACATATTGTAAACGTCAATATACAACCTGCATACAAATGTGATCAGCAATATGCCCCGCTAACACGCCGCCCCTGATGTTCCCTGCAGGGCGACACGTGCTGCTCGATGTGTATGTCCCGCTAATACGCACCCCTGATGTACCCCTGCAGGGCGACACGTGCTGCTGGATGTGTATGTCCCGCTAATACGCACCCCTGGTGTACCCTTGCAAGTACTGCTGAATGTGTATGTCCAGCTAATACGCACCCCTGGTGTACCCCTGCAGGGCGATACGTGCTACTGGACGTGTATTGTCCAGCTAATACGCACCCCTGGTGTACCCCTGCAGGGTGATACGTGCTGCTGTATGTGTATGTCCAGCTAATACGCACCCCTGGTGTACCCCTGCAGGGCGATGCGTGCTGCTGGATGTGTATGTCCCGCTAATACGCACCCCTGGTGTACCCCTGCAGGGCGATACGTGCTGCTGGATGTGTATGTCCCGCTAATACACACCCCTGGTGTACCCCTGCAGGGCGATACGTGCTGCTGGATGTGTGACAAGTGTGAGCCGTTTGAGTTCATGAAGGACGAACACACGTGCGAGGACTGTGGTCACGGCCGGTGGCCCTACCCCGACAAGCTCTCCTGCTACGACCTCGAGGTGCAGTACATGAAGTGGAGCTCACCGCTAGCCATCGGACCCATCGCCATCGCAGTAATCGGTACGTAAAACCTTGTTACACGTATATTTGCTGACATCGCACCCTAGACTCTTCGACTAGCAGTTCTTTACGCGCTAACGGTACAACATTTTAGGCACTTACCATTTGGTGGAGTGAACGCACGTACCAAACCAAAAGGTATAATGTTTCTTTATGGTGATTGACATGCTTTCATTACAGGGATTCTGCTGACGCTGCTGGTGATAGCGCTGTTCCTGCGGCACGACGATACACCGATCGTGAAGGCGTCTGGCCGCGAGCTGAGCTACATGCTGCTGGCCGGCATCCTCATCTGCTACCTCAACACGTTCCTGCTACTCACCAAGCCCAGTCCGGCCGCGTGCGCCCTGCAGCGGGTCGGCGTCGGGCTCGGCTTCGCCTTCATCTACAGCGCCCTCTTCACCAAGACCAACCGGATCTCGCGCATCTTCGACTCGGCGTCGCGCTCTGCCAAGCGTCCGAGCTTCATCAGCCCCAAGTCCCAGATCGTGATCACGACGCTGCTCATCTCCGTGCAGCTGCTGGCCACGGCCGTGTGGCTGCTGGTCGAGCTGCCCGGCGTGCGCTACGACTACCCGGACCGCGGCCAGGTCATCCTCAAGTGCCGCATCAAGGATTCGTCGTTCCTGGTGTCGCTCGTCTACAACATGGTGCTGATCGTCGTGTGCACCGTGTACGCCGTCAAGGCGCGCAAGGTGCCCGAGAACTTCAACGAGACCAAGTTCATCGCCTTCACCATGTACACGACGTGCATCATCTGGCTGGCGTTTGTGCCCATCTACTTCGGCACGGGAAACTCGTTCGAGGTGAGTCGCTAACCTCAGATGTTACGGTTCGACATTCGTGAATAGGATGTGGAGAGGAAAATACAACTGTTCTCTGCATGTATAAATTATTATGACTTCATAATGTGCCGTAAAACATGACCTTGACAGCGGCACAGTACGGCATCGTGTGAGCACCACCCTTTGGTGGTAGTGCACACATAATATCAATAAGGCACAATCGCGTGTCAGCCGGCTGCGTGACCGCAGCGTCCAGTACAGTAGTTGATCGTCACGTAAATTATAGACTCGGTAATCATATATTCACCTCCAGTGGCGCAATGACCAGCTCGTGCTGGTGCTCAGTGCCGCTGGCTGCCAGCGGCACAGGATATGCACTGTGCAGATAACAACGATTACCTTTTCTCGACAAATTTGTCAAAGTGTCTACGGCCTTGTCCAAATGAAGTTCGTTATTTTTCTTCCTTCTCTGCACTGATTATTCTCTCTTTATCTTCGTTCTTAAGCCCTCTCCTTCTGTCATGCTCCTGCTCCTGTTCCTTATCTTCCCCCTTTTCCTCCTCGAGCTTCTCTTCCTCCCCAGCCTCACCTCTTCACCCTCACCTTTCTCTTCCTCTTCCTTCTGTTCCTTATTTTCCTCCTGCTTACCCCACTCCTTATCCTTTGCTCTCGCCCTCATCCACTCCTCTGTCTCTCGGCCTCGCCCGACCGTTCCGCGGTGATCGTCCAGCCTGGCTCAGCAGAATCCTTTCAGAGGCTGGAGAGACGGGCCGCCCTGTATCAATAGACGCGTGGCCGGCGTGCCGTGTCCCCGGACGCAGCGGTGCGGTGCTGTCGCCGCCGACCTCCTCCGGTGTGACCCGCCGGCGTGGTCGCCTGCGTGGTCCGTCACTCGTCAGATTCGATATCGACGTGGTTCAGATTGCGTCTTGGTCGTACACCCTGATCACCTACAATCATAAGTGCAACCGAGCCAGATATAGATGATGAGCTGCACAATGCTAAAGAATAGGATGTTAGTTTTCTATTGCTTTGATGGCTATGGGCTCACACAAGTGTTTACTCAGAAATGCTTCCACTCAATTCCAATTTTGATTCGATGTTGCGCTATAGCCGTTGTAAATATGGCACAGAACAACTTGGTAAACACGTTCGAAAGCGCAGTGGAGTCAGACATTACTGCTGATTGATAGTGTCGTGCAACGTTCGATGCCAGTCGGCCTATGGCGAAGATTGTTTGCTCAAAAGGCTTTCGATAACGCGGCTATGTGTCTCCGTACTAGCAAAACAACGGTACTTGTCTCAATGCAGTGCCCAAGGCATTCGTCAGTTGGGATCAATGCTATATCTAAACCGCTGGGATGTATCCTGAAACTGCTTGTAATCCTGATCGCACGAAATGAGCATGACGTGCAGCTTGTTTTTTGTCGAGGACTTGATGCTATGGATAACTGATGACCCAAAGTATCAAAGTTTACAGCCATCGTTGCGTGTTTCAGGTTCAGATCACCACGCTGTGCGTGGCCATCAGTCTGTCAGCCTCGGTGGCGCTTATCTGCCTGTACGCGCCCAAGGTCTACATCATCGTCTTCCACCCGGAGAAGAACGTGCGGAAGCTGACGATGAACAGCGCTACCTATCGAAGAGTGCCGTCAAGTTCGGCGGCACCATCTCTCAACCACAGTAAGTTGAAGGATGACCAACTGTTGAAGACTATTGAGTCAGATTCGAGAATTCAGTAGCTCTAAGCTCCAGGGACGTAGCCAAGGGGGGGGGGGCGGAGGGGGCGCCCGCCCCTCCCTTGGGGTTTTCAGGAGGCCCCCCGAAAGGATTCAGGCCAACGTGGGCCGAAGGCCCACGTTGGCCTGAATCCTTTCGGCCTGAATCCAACGTGGGCCGAAGGCCAAGTTGGCCAAAATCACGTCGGAGGCGAAAGAAATTCACGCGGAAATCTAAAAATGACGTCAGAAAAATCAGGGCCCTCTGACCAGCCTGACAAGTGACAGCTAGGGCCCTTCTCATCTCCTGTGAATAACCACTAGTGTCTGTGTCTGACCGCTAGGGCCCCTCTGACTCCTCAGTGGAGAGGAGGCCCTCTGTGGGTAAGAGGCCCTCTGTAGAGAGGAGGCCCCCTTAGAGAGGAGACCCCCTGTAGAGAGGAGGCCCTCTGCAAAAAGGAGGCCCTCTGTAAAAGAGGCCCTCTGTAAAAAGGAGGCCCTCTGTAGAGAGCAGGCCCTCTGTAAAGAGGAAACCGTCTGAAGAGAGGAGGCCCTCTGTAGAGGAGGACTCCCTCAGTAGAAAGGTCCTCTGTAGGTAGGAGGCCCTCTGTAGAGTGAAGGCCCTCTGAAGAGAGGAGGCCCTTTGCAGAGATGAGGTCCTCTGTATAGAGGAGGTCCTTGTAGAGACGAGACTCTGAAGAGTGGAGGCCCTACATAGATAGGAAGCCCTCTGTAGAGAGGAGGTCCCTGTAGAGACTAGAGAGGAGGCCCTCTGTAGAGAGGACGCCCTCTGTAAAGGAGGCCCTCTGGAGAGAAAGACACCCTCAGCAGAGAGGAGGCCCTCTGTAGATAAGAGGCAATCTGTAGAGAGGAGGCCCTCTGCAAAAAGGAGGCCCTCTGTAAAAGAGGCACTCTGTAAAAAGGAGGCCCTCTGTAGAGAGCAGGCCCTCTGTAGAGAGCAGGCCCTCTGTAAAGAGGAAACCGTCTGAAGAGAGGAGGCCCTCTGTAGAGGAGGACTCCCTCAGTAGAAAGGTCCTCTGTAGGTAGGAGGCCCTCTGTAGAGTGAAGGCCCTCTGAAGAGAGGAGGCCCTTTGCAGAGATGAGGTCCTCTGTATAGAGGAGGTCCTTGTAGAGACGAAACTCTGAAGAGAGGAGGCCCTACATTTGTAGATAGGAAGCCCTCTGTAGAGAGGAGGTCCCTGTAGAGACTAGAGAGGAGGCCCTCTGTAGAGAGGACGCCCTCTGTAAAGGAGGCCCTCTGGAGAGAAAGACACCCTCAGCAGAGAGGAGGCCCTCTGTAGATAAGAGGCAATCTGTAGATAGGAAGCCCTCTGTAACTGTAGATAAAAGGCCCTCTGTGGGCAGGAGGCCCCCGGTAGTCAGAGACAGCGTCGTATATTAAGTACATAGACTGGAGGCCCACTTAAGCAAATTACGTTAAGTTCCATATCAGTCCATCCGTATCGTCGAGCCAAACACAACTAAGGTGTATTCATCGCTCTAGCATGCCTCTATCAAAAGTTATTCGCGAAAAAACAGTCAGATACCATTGGTGACCTGAGATGACCTCAGGGTTATAAAAAAGGGTCACGGGTGCCATTTTCATGTTCAGTGTGTCAAAGATACTAGTAATTCAGTGTTTTAGAGTGTTTATAATGACTTTCGTCTAAAAAGGCGACTTTCAATTTAAGGTCGCAAAATTGACCTGACCTTATGTCATCGATATCAAAATTCCAAGACATACATTTTTTGCATTTTGTCGCTCTTTTGCATTTGCATCTCTGAAAGTTTCAAAGCGTTTGGTCACTCCGTGTAGCTTTGGCAGACATTGAAACTTTTTATGTAGTGAGGTCATTTGACCTGACCTGGTGACCTGACCTTAAGTGACCAGGGTCTGAAATTTTCACAACATATGTACATAGAAATGATGTAGGATAAAGTGTGCCGCGCCGCCGTTTTTTTAAAAGATATTCACGGAAAACTGCAGGGGGGTGTTTAACATCCCCGGCAGGGCGCGGGTTAATGCATGAACACAGCAGTCCATTTCTGTAATATATACAGGGTTGGGCAGATAAATTGGGACAAAATACATATTTACATTCAGAACGCCGTAGCTTAGAAATTTATAAACGTAGGCATTTCAAATTTGGATCACATATTGTCACACCAATTTTGCACATTTATCACCAAATATGATCACTGTGGTCCACCTGCATCAGTCCTTATCGGTGCCTGGACTGGCCGCACGCGCGGCGAGATCTCCCTTCTGAAATGGCTCGTAATTGTAGCCAACTGGCACTGCTGAGACTCACCACAGTCACATGGGGACGTTCGTTAGACTGGGCCGCAAAAACGCCCCAGCAACCAGAACTTGTGTGGGCTGAGGTTTAATGAGGGAGGGGCCATTTAGCCTTGGGTACAGTTTCCGGGATCCTCCGTTTCAGGAGATTTTGTATTTAATTTACTGTATGCCGGGGAGCTGACTCCTCGAAGAGCATCACTCCATGCAGGATGATGCCTTCTTCCATCTTGTTGATTCGAACTGCCGGAATAATGGTTAGGTACGCTGTAAGGACGAACCTCCTCCCGATTCCGTAAAATAAGGGGGCCCCACGTGGCCGTCAGAAGTCACCGAGTGGAATGCCATCACCGATGTCTGCAGCATGCTTTTTGGAACTAAGATCACGTCTTCTGGGCTGGTTGCGATGTTTCATGGTGTTTGCGGTTGTTCATATGTTCGGTTATGGGGATACAATCGTCGAAAAAGACCTGCACGTGCTTGCTCGCTTCTCCAAAGCCCTTCAAGAGGAAACAATATTTTTAACGTCACAGCTGCTTCAACATCTATGTTAACAGGTCGATATGCATCAATGCATAAGAGTACATGTTTGAGGTGCTGGTATATCGCTTTCTCATGGCGCGGCTACCTTCGTTGTAAGCTCGCGCCACTGTTTTCGCGAGGATCCTCTGATTTAACTGAATTTTACCTTTTAACCCCCCTGGAAAACCGGGGGAGCGGCCGGTGTCAATGCAATAAGTATGTAAGGATGAGTCAACATCTTCTCTTCCTCCAACGTTTACGTCTGTTCGATACACACTACTTTCAGCCATTTGATGGAGCATAATTAGAGTATTGGCATGCATGTGGGCGCGGACTAAGTTGATAGTGACTTGCTTAAGCCCACGTTCTGTGATCAGCCGATTCAAAATTACAACGCAACCTGCATAACATCGAAAAGTATTCATTAGCCTATATTTACGTTCAAAAATTATCTTAATCACTAAAAAAATAGTCGTTTTAGAGGAAGTTGAAATTTGTCCCAATTTATCTGCCCAACCCTGTACATGTGGCTGTGTTGGTATTTTTACGATGGATGCAATTACCCAAACCATTTATCAGACCGTGGTGATATTCCCATAGCCATGCTTCGCACAACTCATAATAATTTATTTGACCGGGAAATTAATATATATATACCTATCCATCTACTGTTTGTTTCATCTACGGCGTAAATGAAGCAAACCACCTGGACCTAGGAAAATTTACTAACGAAACCATGTTTTACTTACAGCAAATAAACGTGGCATCATTCACACAGAAAGAATTGATAGCCGTATAGTTTCAATCTTGCAGACGTCAGTCAGGTCAGAATCGTGACAAGCCTATTGGAAAATATAATGATCTGTGTTCTGCTTCGAGAAAACGAGTCAAAATCACCCAATTCTTTCTGAATTACTTCAGGTTATCTAATCTGTAAGCACCCAGGTGGCATTTACTGACAGGGGCACCGGGAAGGATCATCTGAGGTGAGGTGAGGTCATCAACAGTTTTTAGCCAATAAATCACGACATGATGGGGCTAAATGGTTGTTAGTGTACCAAACCGTTCGCCTGGTCATGACGCGTCGATTGGTACCCAGCGTGACCTTCCTAGGTCAGATTTTGAAGTTGACCTATCTATGTCTAGGTCGTTATAAACCATGTTATTTGTTATGACCTCTGGCGACCTCAATATTGACCTGACCCAAAAAAGTAGCTTACAAAAGTTGTAAGTCGTGCAACGAACTATCAAACGCCGTTGCCGTTTGTCGCTACGATTCGTGCTTTTCGAGATCTGACTTGGGCCAAAAAGGCCCCCGCCCGATTCCGAGTCTTTCAGAGCCCGCCCGGAATACGGTTAAGCGCTTGAACGATATATGATAATACACCAAGTGTTACTCTGACCGTCATCCAGTATCCACCCATTCCTCGCAGATCCTCCCCCTCCTGCTGCGGTTCGGCCGCCACCGCCGCCGCCGCCGGCGCCCGAGTTTTTTTTTTTTTTTGCCAGTTACCACTTACCATGCCACTCGGAGACTTGTGATATGCGTATGTTTCTTACCGCTGCAGCAGTAAGAATAAAGAAACATACCAGTGCGCTGGCCATATGAAAGCTGAACAAAAGTGAATGCGTTATGTTGTATATGTAATTATGTAGGCATGAGACCCTCTGTAGAAAGGAGGCCCCTTTAGGGAGGAGGCCCTCTGTAGAAAGGAGGCCCCCGGGATTCCTCCGCCCCTCCCTTGGCCAAATCCTAGCTACGTGCCTGCTAAGCTCTTAGTTCTAAGCTTGGTGGAAGGCCTTGATAAATCGCTTATATTCCATTCAAGAAATTCACCCACCTCTCATTAATTTTATTTAACATGATTTTTGAATTACTTCGTTTAATATTCTTACGAATTTAAACTAATGACATCATTCATCTTCCAGCATATCCTAGCAATACGTTTACAGTGAATCGGGCAATCATCCCTCCGATAAAATGTGTCCACAAATTCATTTCAGCAGCCAATTTACAGATGAATACAATCTCTAAAAGTGTTATTGAGCCCCATCTCCTTTCCGGGCGGTCTTTATAGCCGACCATTTATCGTTTTGGTGAGTCCGAAGAAAACAATGTAGTCTCGGCGGAGGCATCGATTTGG